CCTTTTCCCACACCCCCCTTCCCCTGGCAGGGGGGGCATTCGCGCCAAAGCTCGTCGGCTTGGGCGCGCGCCGTGTTCGAGCAGCTGCAGGAGGCGGGCGGCAAGCCCGACGCGCGAACGCTCGGCTGCTTCTCGCACGCGCTGCTGATGGGCGGCACCTCACCCGGCCTCTCTCCCCGCGGCTGCGCCTCCTTCTCCTCGCTCCTCTCGCCGGGCGCGGCGGGCCAGGCGAGGTCCATTCCACTGCCCCGCTGGCGTTAGGTAGTGCCACTTGCAGAGCTCGTCTCGTCGACTCTCGCCCGCCCGACGCCCACCCGCCCCACCACCGCCCCACCCCCGCCCCAACCCCGCCCCAACCCCGCCCCAACCCCGCCCCAACCCCGCCCCAACCCCGCCCCAACCCCGCCCCACCCCCTCCCCAGGCACGGCCCTTCACGCCGCGCCCTCCAACGCCGGTCACGCCGCTCACGCCACCCGCCGGCGACGGCGCTTGCCCGGCTCCGGTGCTGGGCGCGCGCCTGCGCGTCGCGGCGGCGGGCAGCGGCTGCGGCTGCGGCAGGCAGCTCGGCGCCCGCGCGGCGTTCGCGGGCTGGTACGCGGCTCAGGGCGAGGAGTCCGGGTACGGGAGCCGCTGCCCCTTTTGCGGCGGCGCGTGGCAGCCGCTGCTGCTCGTGCGGTTGCGCAGCGAGGGCGGCGACGGCGGCACCGAGGCGCCGACAGAGGCGGCGGCGCCGCCGCCTTCGCCCGAGAGGGGGGTGGCTGGCGCGGCGGCGGCGAGCGAGGTAGATGCGGAGGAGGAGGCGAGCGAAGGGTCGCGCGCGGCGGACGGCGACCTGTCCTGCCCCTTCCTCTCGCCGTCGCTGCTGCTGCAGGAGCTCAACATGGTGCTGCAGATCGAGAGCGGGCCGCACGGGCGGCGGGCGCTCGCGCGCGGCTGGGAGCGCTGCCGCCTCCTCTACCCCTCCCTTTTTTGGAACCTGTGCTGGCACTTCGCGCCCGAGGGGATGCTGCCGCTGCTGCCGCACTTTCGGCTGCGGCAACCGGGTGAGGCGGCGCCAGGAGGCCTCGACCTCGTCCACTGCAGCGAGGAGGCGGCGGCGCGCTCCCCCGCCGGCGCGGGCTCGGCCGGAGCGAGCGGCGCGGGAGGGGGCAGAGGCGCAGGCGGCGAGGGCGACGGCGAGGGCGGCGAGGGCGGCGGCGAGGGCGGCGGCGAGGGCGGCGGAGGCGGAGGCGGCGGCGGCGGCGGAGGTGGGGAAGGAGGAGGATGCGGCGGCGGCTCGGCGGCGGCCGCCGAGGCGGGTGAGGAGGACGTCGGCGTCGATTTTGAGGGATGGCTGAGCGCGTCGGGCCACTTGCGGACGGGGGTCGACCTGTGGGCCGAGGTGGCGGAGCGGCGGGGAAGTCAGCCAGAGCTGTTGCTGCTGCGGCGGGCGTCCACCGACTCGAACGATCTGTCGGAGACGCTGACGGCCGGCTCGGAGGCGCCCTACGAGGTGGAGATCTCCCTGTAGGTGTAGCTCGGCCCTTTTTCGTACGGTGTACTACAGACCTTGTACAAGCTTCGAAGAATCAATAGCAAACACAACTCTACACTCACACATTTGGGGCCTGGAGGCTGGAGCCCCGGCAAATACATCTCATGCTCTCGAGGTTCTCGAGGTTCTCGAGGTGGATATCCTTTGGCCGCGCGTTGGGTAGCGAGGATTGGTGTAACCCGAGCCACGGAGGCGTGTTTTCTGACGGCCGACCGTCAGTGCACACGGAGTTGCCCCTTCTCCGACTGCCCCGGCAGGGTAGGCTCCGCCCCACTGTGATTCGGACTGAGCGACGGCAGGACCCTTTGAAATCATGAATGGCGGCGTCCGGTGAGGTCCCCACGGCCGGGGGTGGTAAGTGGGTGATAGGAGGGCCATAAACAACCATCACACCGGCCACCGGACCCCTCCCCCCCCCCAAACACAGTCCAAACCGGCCCCGGCGGCCGGCGGGACGCACGCCGGCGCAGCACCATCAAGCTGCTGTACGGCCTCGGCATCGCCTCCCCTGGCTTAGCTCTCAGTCAAGATATTGTGCACATGGGTGGCCTCTACAATATACTCACTGACACTGAACCTCCCAGAGCTCGTCCCGGTCCGCCACGGCCATCCTCGTCCTCCGCGGCGCCGGCTCCGGCCCCTCCGCCGCACTGTGATGAGCGTCGGCAGGACCCTTTGAAATCATAAATGGCGGCGTCTGGAGAGGCCCCCACGGCCGGGGGCGGTAAGTGGGTGATAGGAGGGTGATAAACGACCATCACACCGGCCACCGGACCCCTCCACCCCCCCAAGCACAGTCCAAACCGGCCCCGGCGGCCGCCGTGCAGGAGGCCGCCGGGGCGCACCAAACGGCCCTTCACGGCCGCCACACGGGCCACCACGGCCCGTCCCGGTGGCACGGGTGCCGCCGTGCACCCGCCCGACGCCCCCGGCCCGCCAGCTTCCGCTCTGGGGGGCTTCACCTCCGCCAGCGGGCCGAGCGCGCCGCCTTCTCGCCGCGCTGCGGCCGCACGCCCGAGAAGTGGCCGAAGGGCGACCTACGCGGCACTAAAATCACGACTAGAAGCGCCGCCCGCCAGCAGGCAGCTTGCCCGCCGCGCGCCGCGCGCCGCCGCAGCCCCCGGCCGGCGCTGGAAGGGCTATGCCGGCCGGTAGCCGCCGTCGCGCCGCCCGGCGGCCGCGTGGGCCGCAGCGGTTGGGGAGGCGGCGCCAGGACGCTCCGAGCGGAGCTATGAAGAGCCTGGGGCGCGGGGTGGGGGGCCGGGAGGGCGACGTGGGCGATGGTAGTGGCGTGGGTGCGCGGGGCCGGCGTGTGGGGGCGCGGGGAGGTCGGTGGTGGTGTGTGGTAGTTGGGGCTAGAACGGAGGAGGCCGGCCGGGATGGTGGGAGGGAGGGGGGGTGACGGTGTCGGAGGGGGTGGCGGGGCGGGAGGCGGCGGTAGCGGTGGCGGCGGCGGCGGCGACGGCGGCGGCGGTGGCGAGGGCCACGGAATAGGCGGCAGCCAAGGCGGCACGGGCGGCAGAGGCGGCGAGAAGGGCGGTGGCGACGGCTCGGCGAGGGCGGAGGCCGAGGCGGCGTGGCGGCGCGTCGGCGGCGGTGAGAGCGGAGGGGAGGACGGTGGGGAGGGCGGTGGCGGTGGCGGCGGCGAGGCCAGTCGCGTGGGCGGCGGCGAGGCAGGTGGCGGGGCCGGAGGCGGCCCGGAGGGCGGCAGCGGCGGCGCGGCGGCAGCGGCGACGGGCGGGAGGGTGGGCCGGCGGCGGCGTTGGGCGAGGCGGCGGCGCGGGTGGCAGTGGCCGGGGCGGCGGTGCGGGTGGGCGGGAGGCGGCCGCCGACGGTGGCGGTGGCGGCCGGGCCATCGGCGGCGGGCGGCGCGGCGGGTGGGGCGGCAGCGGGGCACCAGGAGATGGTGCCGTGGGCAGCGCTGCGGGGAAGGGAGGAAGGGGCGGAGAGAGGGATCAATCAGCTGTGAGAAGGAGGTTTAGGTGCGGTCACTAAGAAGATGCGATAGCGTGCCGTCAAATGCGCGCTCCACGAGGAGCGGTTGCGTGTGTGCAGCGCGAGGTGGATTGCCGCAGCTGCCACCATGGATGGCTCAAATCTCTTGAGGCGCACATTCATCAGAGACAATTCGCAGGGGTACAATGCGAGCAAATATGTGAGCCCGAGCCCACCCAGTTGTCGGCACGCACCTCGAATGTAGCTAATAGCGAGTCAAGCTGAAACATCTTCATGTAGCAATCGTGGTCGAGCGGGTGGTTGCCAGCGGCGATTGCCCGCCACAGCGCCGACGCCCCCTGCACCACACGCAGCGGCTCCATCTCTTCCGCTGCGTGATCTGTAGACAGAGCCGTGTCCGCCGACGCGATGAAGCGGCTATGCGCAGCACGTCATCCTGGCGATCTCGCGGCCAGTCGGCGGGAGATGTGCGCGTGAACCGCGCCAGCTCCGCTGCGGACGTTGTGATCGTATCCGCAATCTCGGCGGTGAGTTGAGGCGGCGTGTGGGCATACGCAAGGGCATGCAGTGTCAGCACGGTGACATTCGGTAGGTCGGCAAACCTCTGAGACATCTCCTCCGCCACCGAATCATTGTACGCCAAGTAGAGGAACTGCTGGAAGGGGTTCCTCCGAGCCCGCAACTCCAGCATGGTGCTTTTGCCGGCACCCGCCACGGCTCTCACCAACATGGCCTCGCCGGGACCGACAGGCGTCTCGAGAACGTCTCCGAGCTCTTCGGTGATAACGACGCGCGATCGGGGCGCCGCGCCGGCGGCGGGGAGGGGGGCGGGGGCGGCGAGGGCCATCTGAGCGCCCCGGGGCGCCCCGTAGGCGCCGGGGGGGCCGCGGCAGCGGCCTCGGCCGAATTGGTCGAATTGGTCGAATTGGCGCAGCCTCGTCCACAAAACGGAGCCTAAGTGGTGGCGGTCAGAGGCAAAGCCTACGAGGGGTGGTGGAACCACATGTCACGGCTACTGCCGGCTTGACCCCACGATAGCCTCCGAAGGCTGACTTTGCGGCACTATCATCGGACGATGTCGACGAGTTGGGTCGCTCTCGCGGTAGCCAGATGACCTCTCATACTAGTAGTATCGGCCATGGCCGCAGGGAGCGCGGGGGAGGGCGCTGGAAGCAACACGGGGAGCTCCGACGTTGGAGCTTGGAGACGTTTTTCAAGATTAGCGTGTCAGAGTGAAATGGCACTAGCCTGTGTGCTGTCGTGTATGCAGTATGGCTTTTCTAGATCTCGCCTGCGCTGAGCGTGCGGGTGCCCCTCGGCGATTCATGAAGTGTAAAAGCACTAACGACTAAGAGCAGAGCCGCCGCGCCCCGCGCCCCGCCCGCCCCGCCCGCCCCGCCCGCCACGTCCACGCCCCCCTCTCCCCCCTCGCCTACCGACTGCCGCCGTGGCGCCCACGGGCTGAGCCTGGGGCGCGGGGCGCGGGGGCGGCTGGTGGACAAACGTCGTCTGCGCCGCCACCAACCGCCCAGTTGCGGCAATGGGCAGCGCCGGCTGGCGGCAGGCCGGGCAGTTGCTGTCGCGCTCCAGCACGCGCTGCGCACACGTCTCGCAATACAGCGCGTGGCCGCATGCGAAGCGGACAGAGCGCGGCGCGTCCCAGCAGAGGTCACACAGGCGCTCCTCGGCCTCAGCCGTCTCCTCCACCTCCCCCGCCGCTTCGACTAGCGCCTCCAGCCGCGGCAGCGCCACTGTGAGCGGCATCCGCTTCCTCTTCCGCTCGTACGCCAACCCGACCACCAGCCGCGCCAGCTCCTCGGCCTGCGCCGCCGACCAGCCCGCGTCGGCCGCCGCGATGCTCTCCGCCGTGTCGGGCTCCTCCAGCGCATCGTCGCACGCGTTGAGCAAGCCGACGGCGCCGCGGCCGGTCAGGGCGACGAGTAGCGTGATGCCGAGCGCATAGCCGTCGGTCAGCTGAGAAGCTTGGTTGTCCTGCATGATGATCGGGTCCATGTAGCCGGGCTTCCCAAAGATGCGTTGCGTCGACAGGTGCGACACCTGCTGGTTGCCGCCGGCCGTCGCCTCTGCCGCGCGCGCGAGGCCCACGTCGGCGAGGTAGCCGTTGCCGCGCTCGTCGAGCAAAATGTTGCCCGCCGAGACGTCGCGGTGCAGGATCATCGGGGAGAGCGTGTGCAAGTAGTGCAGCGCGCTCGCTGCGTCGTGCAACACGCGGAGCCGTGCGGCGGAGGAGAGCGGCGGAGGCGGCGTCTCGAAGCCGAGCATGCGGAGCCGCTGCAGCGCGGCTGGAGCGCGGTAGAGGCGGTCCTCGAGGCTGCCGCCGCGGCAGAGGGGGTAGACGAGGCACGCTCTCGCCGGCGCCAAGCAGACACCGAGAAGAGGAAGCAGGGACGGGTGGCGTGCCGCGCTGAGCGTGCGCACCTCGCTCTGCAGCTCGGCGAGGCCTTGGGCGCCGACACCGACCAACGCCGTCTTGACGGCGAACCCGCAAGCGACGCGCGGAAGCGACGGCAGCGCGTCGCAACGATAGACGCGCCCAAAGCCGCCCTCGCCCACCTTGCGCGCCTCGGCAAAGCCGTCGGTCGCCGCGATGAGCTCGTCGAGAGGGACGGCGGCGGGCGGCGCGGCGGCAGCGGCGAGGACGGCGACACTCGCCGCCGCCTCCACTGCCGCCGCCGCCGCCGCTGCCGCCGCCGCCGCCGCTGCCGCCGCCGCCGCTGCCGCCGCCTCTTGAGCCTCCGCCACCGCCACGGCCGCCACTGCTGCCTCTACAGCCGCCGCCTCCGCCGCTGCCTCCGCCGCCTCCGCCTCCGCCTCCGCCCTCATCCTCGCCTCCTCCCTCTCCCTTGCCGCCTCCTCCCTTGCCCTCGCCTCTACCTCCTCCCTTGCGCGCGATGCCGCCTCCGCCTCCTCCGCCGCCCGCGCCGCCGCAACCTCTGCAACCACCCGATCCGCTTCCTCCGCCACTCGCGCCTCCTCTGCGGCCCGCGCCTCCTCCGCTTGCTCCGCCGCCCGCTCCGCCGCCCGCGCTGCCGCCTCCGCCTGCCTCGCCGCCGCCTTCTCCTCCTTCTGCCGCTGTCGCTTCAGCGCCCTGGCCTCGCGGGCCTTTCGCTCCGCCAGCTCGTCGTGCAACCGCCGCGCCGCCCGCAGCGCCTCCGAGCCGTCAGCGACTTCGGTGTTCGCGTTGATCGCCGCCCTGAGCGCCTCGAGATCGGCGTTGCCTCGGCCGCACGCCTCAACCGCCTCGCGCAGCGCCGCCTCGGCAGCATCGCGCGCCTCCGCCGCCTCCGCAGCCGCTGCCGCCTCGCGTGCGGCCGCCGCGGCCTGCTCGGCTGATTCTGCGGCCGCCGTCTCCCCCCCAGCCTCTGCTGCGGTCGACAAGTGCTCCTCGAAGGCGCGCACGCACTCGGCGTGGCCCTTATCCTTGGCCATCTGCAGCGCCGTCTTGCCGTCAGCAGCGTCTGCACCCGCCCGCAGCAAGCGCCGCACGACGGCGGGGTGGTTGAGGAGGGCGGCGTACATCAGCGCGGTGTAGCCTTTGATGTCCTGCAAGTTGACCTCAGCGCCGCGCCGTATCAGCAACTCGACCACCCGCTCGTGGCCGTTGATGGCGGCGAACACTAGTGCGGTGTGGCCGGCGCTGTTCTGCAGGTTGACCTCCGCGCCTCGCTGGATCAGCAAGTCGACCACCTGCTCGAGGCCGTTCTCAGCGGCGTACATCAGCGCGGTGCTCCCGTTGCTGTTCTGCAGGTTCATCTCCGCGCCGTGCCGCAGCAACAGCTCGACCACCCCCAAGTGGCCGAACACGGCGGCGGTCATCAGCAACGTGACGCCATTCACGCCGCCTTGCTCGTACGTCGCGTCGGCCCGCCCGCCGCCCTCGAGCCACTCCAGCACCGCCGCCTCCTCGCCTCGCCCAGCCGCTGCCACGATCGCATCGGAGACTGCCGCGGCACCGCTCGACGCCCGCCCCGCCGCCACCGCTGGAGAGAGCGTCTCCGTGACTCTCGATTCAGCCGAGGAGGCGCCGCCGGAGGAAGCGCCGCCTGCGCCTGCGCCGCCGGCTGCCGTCGCCGTGGGCCGTCCCGCCAGCATATCCTGGACGTGCTTCTTGAAGGCCTCGACGCACTCGGCGTGGCCCTTATCCTTGGCCAGCTGCAGCGCCGTCTTGCCTCTCGCACTGCGCGCCGCCGTGTCTGCGCCAGCCCGCAGCAAGCGCCGCACGACGGCGGGGCGGTTGAAGAGGGCGGCGAGCATCAGCGCGGTCCAGCCGTTGCGGTCCAGCAGGTTGATCTCCGCGCCGCGCCGTATCAGCAAGTCGACCACCCGCTCGCGGCCTCCGACAGCGGCGTTCATCAGCGCGGTGTCGCCGTCGCTGTTCTGCTTGTTGATCTCCGCGCCGTGCTGCAGCAGCAGCTCGACCGCCCGCTCGTGGCCGTAGTTGGCGGCGGTCATCAGCAGCGTGATGCCACTCACGCCGTCTCTCTCGTACGTCGCGTCGGCCCGCCCGCCACTGTCGAGCCACGCCTGCACCGCCTCCTCCTCGCCTCGCTCAGCCGCTGTCACGACCTCGTCGGAGACTGCCACGCCACCGCTCGGCGCCGCCGTCGCCGGCGACAGATTGCCCGGCCGCACCCGCACGCTCTCGCCGCCGCCGTCGAGCGCCACAGCGTACCGCCCGCCCTCGAAGCTCTGAGCCACGCCCCGCCGCCCGTTCAGCTCGGGGCGGGAAGAGAGCCCGCCGAGCACGACTCGCTGGCCGAGCAGCGGCGCATCCATCGCTGCCGCTGCCGCGCCCGACGAAACGCCCGCCCCTGCCCGGCCGTCTGCAGCCGCCGCCGCCTCCGACAAGACCTCGACGCACTCGGCGTGGCCCTTTTCCTTGGCCAGCTGCAGCGCCGTCTTGCCGTTGACAGTGGGCGCTGCGTCTGCGCCCGCCCGCAGCAAGCGCCGCACGACGGCGGGGCGGTTGAAGAGGGCGGCGGTCATCACCGCGGTGATGCCTTTGATGTCCCGCAGGTTGACGTCAGCGCCGTGCTGCATCAGCAAGTCGACTACCCGCTCGTTGCCACAGCCGGCAGCCGCCATCAGCGCGGCGAGGCCGCTGCTGTCCTGCAGGTTGATCTCCGCGCCGTGCCGAATCAGTAGCTGGACCACCCGCTCGTGACCGTGGAGGGCGGCGAACATCAGCGCGGTGATGCCGTCGCTGTCCTGCAGGTTGACCTCAGCACCGTGCTGCAGCAGCAGCTCGACCACCCGCTCGTGGCCGTGGCGGGCGGCGCGCATCAGCAGCGTGAGGCCGCTCACGCCGCCTTGCTCGTACGTCGCGTTGGCCCGCCCGCCACTGTCAAGCCACGCCAGCACCGCCGCCTCGTCGCCTCGCCCAGCCGCTGCCACGACCTCGTCGGAGACTGCCACGCCACCGCTCGGCGGCGCCGCCGCCGGGGACAGATTGCCCGGCCGCACCCGCACGCTCTCGCCGCCGCCCTTGAGTGCCACAGCGTACCGCCCGCCCTCGAAGCTCCGCGCCACGCCCCGCTGCCCGTTCAGCTCGGGGCGGGAAGAGAGCCCGCCGAGTACGACTCGCTGGCCGAGCAGCGGCGCGTCCATCGCTGCCACTGCCGCGCCCGACGAAACGCCCGCCCCTGCCCGGCCGTCCGCCGCCGCCGCCGCCTCCGACAAGACCTCGACGCACTCGGCGTGGCCCTTTTCCTTGGCCAGCTGCAGCGCCGTCTTGCCGTTGACAATGGGCGCCGCGTCTGCGCCCGCCCGCAGCAAGCGCCGCACGACGGCGGGGCGGTTGAAGAAAGCGGCGAACATCAGCGCGGTGCCGCCGTCGCTGTCCTGCAGGTTGATCTCCGCGCCGCGCCGTATCAGCACGTCGACCACCCGCTCGTGGCCGTTGACGGCGGCGGCCATCAGCGCGGTCAAGCCGTCGCTGCTCTGATGGTTGACCTTAGCCCCGTGCCGCATCAGCAGCTCGACCACCCGCTCGTGGCCGTTGTTGGCGGCGTCCATCATCAGCGTGATGCCGCTAACCTTGCCTCTCTCGTACGTCGCGTCGGCCCGCCCGCCGCCCTCAAGCCACGCCAACACTGCCTCCTCCTCGCCTCGCTCCGCCACTAGCACGGCCGCGTCGAAGCGGCTCAGGGAATCTGCACTCACCATCGTCTGGGTTCGGCCTTTGGTGGAGTAGGGCTGCTGCGCGCACCAACATCTAACTAACCAACGCACGGACGGGGCGGCGCCGCGCTGCCGCTGGCGCCTCTGCTGCCGAAGTATACAGGACTCCAGCGATTTCATTCATGAAGAAGAGAAGATCTCTCTCTCTCTCTCTTCATGAACGCAGGCGAGTGGCCGAAAGGGTTGAGCAGGAAGGCCCTGCTCTGTCCGAGGCTGTGAGCTGTGAGAGTGTGAGAGTGCGCGCTCTACCGCGCTGTCTCACAACGGAGAATCCCCCGAGGCCACAACACAACGTATCTCTTGCTGCATATGGCCACGGCCAGAGGGGGGGGGGGGGGGGGGCGGAGGATGCAGAGGCGGAGGCGGCGGCGGCGGAAGAGGAGGAGGAGGAGAGTGAGGGGGAGGCGGAGGCGGAGGCACCTGTGACGGCCCTCTACAAGAAGGGCGACTACCGGTTCGCGCGGGAGAAGAATTGCGATCTGCGTTTGCTTGACTTCGAGACGTTCGGCGGCTTCGGGAACGGCGTCCGCAAAATTCTTCGGCAGGCGGCGGACCAGCTGAGTAACAAACTCCGGGTGCACCCGGACCCACCCGGAGGGGCCCGGGATCCCAGGTCGATGGCGGGCGAGGCCGCCATCGAAGGCCTCTGGTGCCCGGCCGCGTGGCCCCCGGGCTGCGGGTGGGTGCTCGCTGTGGCGGCCGCCGAGAGGGCAGAGAGCGGCGGCAGGCCGCCGACGGTGAAAAAAAAGCAAGACTGAAAAGAAAATAGATCTTAAAATCAAAAAAAGAAATAAGAAAACCAACCAGCAGCAAACAAACATCGGCCGTCATCATCCGGCACAAGAAACTCTCAACAACGCAAGTCACGTCAGGTCAGTCTCTCGGTCCCCACGGGCCAGCCACGTCTCCGCTCTCCCGGCGGCGTCGCGCATCTCGTGTCGGCGAAGGCATGGGCTTACGGGCGAATCAACGCCGCGCCAGAGGCCCGCTGCATTCCATTCGCCCTGTTCTTTCGGATCGGGCCGCCGCTCATGGGGCCCTTCCCCACCCGCTCCTTCGGAGCCGTCGGCTGCTGCCTCCGCGCGTGCTGGCGTCGGATGGCCGGCGGGCCAAGCGGGCCCGCCTTGACGAGCGCACCAGGTCGCGCCGCCCTGTTCCGGCCGCTGGGCGTCGTGGCGCGCGGCAGCTTGGCCGCGGCGCCAGGGACGAAAACGGCCGCGTCAGGGTTGAGCTGCGAGCCGTTGCTCGGAGCGGGCTTCTTGAGGCCGCCCTTGGCCTTGCGCTCCTTGATCAGGTCGTCGAGGGAAATGGCCATCGCGTCCTCCCTGACGACGATGCGAGCCACAGACTCCGCGAGCTTGGCGCGGCGCTTGCCGCGCGAGGCCGGCGGCTTCTTTGGCAGCTCGACGTAGTCGAGCGCGCGGCAAGCAAAGCAGCTGCTCTCCGTGATGGGGAAGGCCGCAGCGGCCGCCTCGAGAAAGGCGTCCCTCTCCGACCGACTCACCTCGGAGAGCGAGCCGACGTCCACGTACTTCTCGTCGCGCCACTCCTTGCCGCGCGGCAGCAGCCAGCGGATGCGCTCGAGGCCGTCGTGGCTCTTGAGCGAGACCACGACGCGGAGGCGGCCGCGCGGGCTCGCCTCCCATCGGACGAACCGGCCCTCGATGGCGTCGGAGGCGGCCTGGCTGCCAGCCTCGACGGCGTTGCTGATCTCGTCGCGCGTGTAGACGTGCAGCCCGCCAATCAGTGGGATGTGGAAGGGCCGCGTCTGATCCCTCTCAAAGGGCGAGTTCGCGGCAAAGCGGTCGGCGGCTTCCGCCAGCGCGGCTTGCGTGGCGTCATCAAAACTGGCACCGAGGTAGGGCATCGTTCCTGTGGCCGCGCAGGTTGCGAGTCTGTCAATCCATCGGTGCGCGCAGAAGACTGGGCGGGGCGGCGGATGCTTCTTCGTGGAAGGCTTCGAGCCCTTGCGGCATGCAGCCCTCGATCGTCGCGGTCGACGACGGTCGTTTGCGATTTGGGGCGGGGAGCGGCGGCGGATCACCCGAGCGAGAGACAGGGCCACAAACTGGACGAGTCCAGGTCGGCGGAAATAAAAAAATCGCGCTCACCAAGTGCTCACGGAAAACTGTGGTTTGGCGTTTGGGCAAAAGACACCGCCACATTCCTGAGACGAGCGAGGGCAGCCTCCTTAAAGGCGAAAGGGTCTAGATTTGGAGCGCTCGCCGAAGAGGAGTACGACAAAATAGCGCCCGTGATTGCCTGCACGCTACCCGCACTCACGGACTCCATACCCGAAAGAAAGAGAAGGGAGCTCGCGGGAGAGGTGACGAGTGAACTACAGGTAGTGGGGAAGGCAGCCTCGATTGCCATACAGACATGGGTGCGAAACAACGACAAGACCAAGGCACGGGCAGAGGAACGAGAGAAGAATATAGGGTGGATAAAGCGCCTGTTCACGGCATGGAGGGTGAGCCACACCGAACGTACCGAGCGAAGAGCCGAACGGAAGGAGGACGGGGAAGATGACTCCGAGGAGGACGAACCAGTGGAAATTCAGTTGTCAGATGTCACGATGCATCCGAAGGGGACCCCAGCGCCGGCATCATCCGTAGAGGCACGAGTGTTCGAAGAGAGAGTGGACCTGAGCAACAACATGACCTGGAGGCAAATGATCGGAGTGGGAGTCAGAAATGTGGTCCTTGCGCGAGGGGAGCTCGATAGACTCGAGGGGCCAGGATATGCAGCAAGGAGGGCGGAGTTGCGCCGAAAGGCGAAAGAAGCCGAGAGAACAAGGGAACGGCAGGCGGCGGCGGCGCAGGACGAGGCAGAAGAGAATGACGCGACAGAGGAGGAAGTGACAAGGGAGAGAACGACGAGAGTGGGACGGCCGCGAGGTGGCATGAAGGTTGCAGCGAGAATCGGCGAGAGACTGCGAAAAGAGATAGGAAGCGGCAGACTCCCTAGGGTGGGCGACGGCTAGCGCATCACACTCCTCTCCTTAAAATCCCTGTGTGGTGGCGGCGTGCCGTCCTCCCATCCCTCCCTTGGGTTGTCTGTTTTCTTTCTTTTCTTTCTTTGGCGTTTGGGCTTGGCAACAAGAAAGAGAAGAGAAAGGTAAAGCAAGGGAAAGAAAGAAATAAAACGGGCGTACCAAACCAGGGCTGTGTCGAGAACAGACACGTTCCCGCCTCACAGGATTTTGCAAAAGGAGGGGAAGGGGCGCATTGAAGAAAAACAGCGCCACGAAAAAAGAAAAGCGCGCCCACATATGGCGGTGGACTTCCCGCCCCGCAGGCTCACGGTCGTCGTCCTCACGGCCACGCGCCGCCGCCCGGAGCGGGCGCCGCTGCTGGAGCGCGCTGTCCGCGCGGCGGCGGCGCAGCGCGTCTCCTCGGCGACGGCACTCGAGGTCCTCGTGCTCGACGACGGCCCGGACGCAGCGGGCTGGCCGTACGTGCGAGCCGCCGTCTGCGGCGTGGATCGAGCGCGGCTGTGCGGCGCCGACAGCGCCGTCGCGGAGGGCCACGTCGCCGTGCGGTACGTCGCCGTGCCTCCAGACGCGACGGGCCGCGTGTGCCTGCGGCTCAAGCGCAACCTCGCGCTCGAGCTGTGCAGCTTGTCGGGCACGGACGCCATCCTCTTTTGCGACGACGACGACTGGCGCTCGGCCGACGCGGCGCAGGCGCAGCTCGACGCCCTCGCTCGCACCGGCGCCGACGCGTGCTCCGTGCAGGTGCGCTGCGTGTGCGAGCTGTCCGCCTCGCGCGGCTGCGCCTCGTACTTTGAGATGCCGGCGGCGGGAGGCGGCGGCGTCTTCTCCGCGGAGCTGGGCAACCCCGGCACCGCGCTGCTGCTCCGGAAGACGTGGGCGCCCGGCTCGGACGACCCTCCCGGCTTTCCAGACACGCCGTACGAGGCGCGACGCCTCGCGTGCGCCTCGCTGGCGGTGGTGGCAGAGGATCGGCGGCTCTGAGAGCGGGAGCGGAGCCCGCGTAGGACGTCGACTTCATGAAGCTGCTGCTGTCGGACGCGCCGGTCCTCCCCCAGCGCGGCGCCCCCCCCCTGCGCCACGCCCTTCTCGACGGCGCGGAGCTCGAGCGGCAGTCGCGCAGCCCGACGCTGATGACGGTGCGCCTCGACGGATGCGAGCATGAGTGGTCGACCTTCCCGCGGCTGCGGCGGCTGGGCCACGAGCCGGACACGGCGCCACCGCCCTGGCTCCCCGCCGCCGACGCCGCCTTTTACGCCCAGCACGCGCGCGCCATCGCAAGCTTGCCTCCGTCCCAGCATCCCACCACCGCGCTCCCCGCCGACCCGCCGCCGCCCGCCGCCCCGCCGCCGCCGCCTTCAGACGCGCCGCCGCCGCCGCCGCCCTCCCACTTGCCGCCCTCCGACTTGCCTCCGCCGCCCTCCGACTTGCCTCCGCCGCCCTCCGACTTGCCTCCGCCGCCGGACGACTTGCCTCCGCCGCCGGACCACTTGCCTCCGCCGCCGGACGACTTGCCTCCGCCGCCGGACGACTTGCCTCCGCCGCCGGACGACTTGGCCGCCCTGCTCGAGGCGGCGGCGCGGAGGATGGCGTCCGCCACGGCGAGCCACTGGAGGCTGCAGGCGTGGCTGGCGGTGCGGCGCGAGGCGGGGGGCGACGCGGCGCCGCCGCGTCGCGACGCGGCGCTGCCGCGCCCCGTGGGCGGCGAGGCGAACGAGCGCGCGGTGGCCGAGGGATGTGCGGCGCTCGCGGCGCCGATGGCGAGCTGTGGCGGCGGCGGCGGAGGCAGAGGCGGCGGTGGCGGTGGCGGCGGCAACGGCGGCGACGGCGGCGACGGCGGCGGCCTCGACAACCGCTCTCTCTCGCAGGCATGCAGCAGCATGCGGCCAGCGGGCGACACAGGGGGGGAGGGCGGGGGAGGGGGGCGGGCGGATGCGTCCCACCCCGCCCAGGCGCGGAGCCCAGGCGCTCCGCCTCCTCACGCTCTTGCGCGAGCTGTCTGCGAGATATGGGAGATGCGGGGAGATGCGGGGAGGTATGGGGAGATTCTGTATGGGGAGATGCGCACTTGCGCGAGCTGTCTGCGAGCCGCCGCGCCGCCGCCTCTAGGCCGGCGCTGCGGAGGAGGATAGCACTGGCGCCATGCTCCGACGGCTGCGCGCGGCGAGCGATTCGCTGCTTGAACCACCGACGCACGGGGGGGCGGCGGCGGCGGCGGCGCGTGGGGGGGAGACGCTCGGGACGCTGCTCGGCAGGTCCTCGAGGTCGGCCGGTGGCGCCGTCGACGCTGAGGAGGTGGCGGAGGCGTTCGACGCGCTCCGTCGAGCCTCTGCCGACCATCGCGCCGCCGCGACGGCGGCACCTGCGGACGGCGCCGCGGTTGCCCAGCGCCTTCTGCACGCCGGAGCGATGGCGAGCGTGCTCGACGTCTTGTCGGCGCTACTGCGTACGCCACCCTCGCCGCCGCCGCCGCCGCCGCCGCCGCCGCCGCCGCCGCCGCCGCCCTCGCTGCCGCCAGACCAGCTGCGGGCGGTCGTGGCGGCCGCCGCTCTGAGCGAGGAGCTCCTCTTCCGCACGAGCGGGCCCGCGCTGCCGGAGGGGTCGCACGCGGCCTCCTCCGTCGAGCGCTTGCCGCGAGGAGGCGAGGGGGGCGGAGGCGAGGGGGGAGGAGGCGAGGGGGGAGGAGGCGAGGGGGGCGGAGGCGAGGGGGGAGGAGGCGAGGGGGGAGGAGGCGAGGGGGGAGGAGGCGAGGGGGGAGGAGGCGCAGGCGGCCGCAGCTTACTCGCCGCCCTCGCCGGGGTGCTCGCCCGGGGCGTGGCCTTGCCCGCGGAGGCGCCAGGAGGCGTGAGCAGCGTCTCTTCTCACCTCTGCCTGTGAACAGGTGAGTTGCCCGTTGAGGCGCACGCCGCGGGCGCGGGCGCGCTGCAGCATCTACTCACCCGCGGCGAGGAGCACGCGCGGCTCGTGAGGCTGCCGCCGCGCGCGTGCGCCGCCCCCCTCGTCGCCGCGCTGGCGTCGGACGAGCTGACCGTGCGCCGCCGCGCCGCGGGCGCCGTGTGCAACGCGAGCGCCGACGACGACGCGCTTGACCTGCTCGTCGAGTGCGGCGCCGCAGGGGCGCTCGCGTTGCACCTCCTCCCGAGCGGCGGCGCCGCTTGTGCCTCCGCCGCCACCGCCGCCTCCTCGCCGGCGGAGCAGGCGGCGCGGCACGCCTCGCTGCGGGCGCTCGAGAGGCTGTGCCGTGTGTCTGCGACGGCGCGCGAGCAGGCGGCGGCCGCGATGCCCGAGGCGGCGCCTCTCCTCTCTCAGCTGGCGGCGCTGCTGCAGACGAGCGGCCACGCCCCCACGCGCGCGCTCGCCTCGCGTACGGTCGCGTCGCTCTCGCGCTCCGAGTCGCGCCACTGGAGGCCAGCGGCTGAGCGGCCGCCGCCGCGCGCGTGGCCGCCCTCCTCCCTCGTGTACTACACGGGCGTCGCGCTCGAGCCGTGGGGCCCCGAGCGGCTCGAGACCGGGCTGGGCGGCTCCGAGACGGCGGTGCTGCAGCTCGCCTCGCGCTGGAAGGCGATGGAGCCCGACCGGGAGGTGGCCGTGTACTTGCGCATGGGCGCGCCCGCCGATGGCGCCGCGGCGGCGGCGGCGGCGGCGGCGGCGGCGACGGAGCGCGAGTGGCGCGGCGTGCGGCTCGTGGACGTGGCGGCCTTCAACCCGTCCGACAGCTTCGGCACGCTCATCGCGTGGCGCTCGCTCGAGCTGCTGGACGAGCCCCTCGACGCGCGGCTCGTGCTGCTCGATCTGCACGACATGCCGCGGCGGCGCGACATGTCGCCGCGCCGCCTCGCGCGCGTGGACCGCCTCATGTGCAAGAGCGAGTTCCAGCGCGGCGTCCTGCCGCCCGTCGCCTCGGGTACGCCCGCCTGCGTCCTCCCCAACGGCGTCGACGAGGAGCTGGTCGCCAGAGTCAAGGCCGAGGTATGGGGAGAGACGGGGAGAGACGGGGAGATGCGGGGAGATATGGTCGCCAGAGTCAAGGCCGAGCGGCGGCAGCCCGCGGCGCCAGCGGCCGAGGCCGACGCCGGCGCGCCCCGCCCCGCCGCGCCGCGGCTGGTGTACACGTCGTCGTACGACCGCGGCCTCGAGCACATGCTGCGCCACGGCTGGCCGGCGCTGCTGGCGCGCGTGCCCGACGCGACGCTGCACGTGTACTACGGCTGGCGCACGCACGAGCTGCTCCACCCAGCCTCGGCGTGGCGCGACGGCATGAAGGCGCTCCTCGCGAGCTTTGGGCCGAGCGTGGTCGACCACGGCCGCGTCGGGCAGCTGGAGCTGCTGCGCGCCAAGGCGCGCGCGCAGCTCCTCTACTATGTGGGCGACTGGCCCGAGATCGACTGCATCGCCGTGCGCGAGGCCGCGATGCTCGGCTGCGTGCCGCTCACCTCGAGCGTCGCCGTCTTCTCCGACCCGAGCAAGGACTACGTCCTCCGCGTCGAGGGCGACCCGACGGAGCCGAGCACGCAGCGCGCGGCGGCGGCCAGGGCGGCCGAGATCCTGCTCGAGTGGAAGGCCCGCGGCGCGCTGCCGTCCGTCGACACGCCGACGCTGCGCTCCGAGACGTGGGCGGCCGTCGCGAGGCGCTGGCTCGACGTCGTGGCGGCAGACGTGTCCGCACGAGCAAGTGATGACTCTGATGTAGAGTGATACCTGATACGGTGCACCACGGGCAAAAGAACTCGCGAGGGCTTGCGACGGCCGAGGGTTGTTTTTGGGGGTTGCATCAAACTTGCCCTCTATAAGGAAATCCGCGCCGCGCGCGCCGCCGCCGGCTTTAGCCCCGGCTCCCTCGTGCGGTCAATGTCTTCCTTTCTTTTTGCACATCAACCCAGCTCCTAAAATTGGACTGACACTGAGATCTGTCATCAGAGTGCTCTACCTCTACGCTCTAGATCTTCCCACTGTAAGGCTGGTGCTGCATCGTAGGCTTGAATTCCGCAGCCTCGTCAAAGTCCGGGACCTCGTCCTCCGAGAGGACGAGGGTACCGCGGCGTTCAGAGGAGCGTCCCGCATGGACGCAAGCGAAATAGTAGCATAGCAACGTCGCGGCTGGCACGAGCAAGACAGAGATGAAGATGATAATCATCCACATCTTGGACGGCCAACGGACAATCCACGGCAACAACAGGAAGCCAGCGATGACATTGTAGGCAGGCACAAGCTCTACGTTCGTGGTGCCGTTGCTCGCGTCTGCCTGCGCTAGCGCCTCCGGCTGGCCTAGTTGCTCCAGTTGGCTCTGCTGACCCCAAGAGCTCTTTCCTCCCTCATCAATAGATTGCGCCGCCACGGGGACTGGTACTGTTGGTGAGGGCTGTGGCGGTATAGACTCGAGCATTGGCGGTGGAGGTGACGGTGGAGGAGGCGGCGGGGATGGCGGCGGAGGGGAGTTGGCTATCCGGCAGTCCTTGCGGACATACATCCCGTCCGCGTCGCAGTGGCTGAATTCAAAGATTGTCGGGTCATGTGTGCCGCACCGCCCATCGCCAGCACACCAGACCCCTGGCCGGAGGTTCGATTGGCATGGAGGTGACTCCCAGAACCGAAAAAACTCGTCCCAAGCCCCGCACCTTACGATCATGAGGCAGAAGCCACACGCCTCGCCGGCATCACACGTGGGAGGGCACGGGGGAGGAGCGAGAGCGGACATGCTCACTGGGATGTGGGAAGTTCACAGCTGAGCTTACCAGAGAACTCCGTTCTCACCCAATTCGGCTTCCTGCCCCTCGGGCGTCCAAATCGGGGGTTGTGGGGTAGGCAAGGCAGCGGAGGGGGTGGCGCGGGGGTGAGGCGGCCGAGGGCGAATCGCGAGCGTCCGTCCAATTTCTTTCCAATTTCTTAAAAAAAGAAAAGCAACGGCCGCCCGGGCCCCATGCCACGAGAACCCACAGAGTTTCCTCGAAAAAATCGCCTGGAAATTCTTATTTGAGAGCGCCTTCCTTGTTAATAACGGATGGTCACTTCCTGCAGTCACATCACACGTACACACCCACACCGTACCGCACCCCGCGCCCGCGCGCCCCCTCGCCCCGCCTAGGTTGGAAGGAGGTGGAACAGCCCGAGGAAAGGAGCGACCAAACACGCGTATGGGAGGTTTGCCGGGCGTTTCTCACTTTCCGGAGCAGCACCAAGTTTCGGCTCTTCGTTGATTCTTTTTCGCACCTGTGTCGAGCCTGTCTGCTGTGAGCGAGAGTTGTTGTTTTAAATTCTTTTTCTCGCACAACAGGTAGGTAGGTAGGTAGAAAGGTAGGACTATGTGCGCCCAGCCCCTGGCGACGAGAGTGCGAGGTTGACTTGGCTCTGGCGCATCTCGGCCCTGTCGATCCGTCGTTTTAAAACAAAGAAAGAAAGAAAACGGCCCCGAGAGACGGGAGGACGGCATAAATAAATAAATAAATAGAGCAGTCATCTCCAGGGAGAGATGGGCGACGCACACGAACACAGAGGGACAGTGCGCACCCCGCCCCGCTCGCAGGGCGTGCATCACACAGGTGGACTGTGTGACTCCTCGGGTTTCTGGGACTCGACAGAGGTGTGCTAGTCGCTATTCTCCGACAATTCCGACATGTCTGACGGGCAGTTCGGGCTCGAGCGGTCGCGGTCGCGGCCAGCGCGCGGGGCCTGGGGGTTGCCGGGCGAGAGCTCGACCCACGCGCCGGAGCGCGCGTGGTGCTTGAGCAGCCGGGCGGTCGCCGCAGCCACCTCAAAGGGTAGCTCGTCGAGCCACTCGCCGAATGTGCCCTCGTCCTGCGCCGCAGCGAGGAATTGCTCACCTAAGCCGTACGCCGCGGCCATCGCGCCGACAGTTCTTTTTCTCGCGATGTCCACCCCGCCGCGCCGCCGCTCGCGCCGCCTCGCCTCCTCCGCCACCGCCGCTACCTCGCCGAGCACGCCGCCGCCCGCCCGCCTCCTCGACCTCCCCACGGACCTCCTCGTGCGCGTCGTCTCTCGCTGCGACCCCGCCGACATCGCTCGCGTCACGGCCGTCTCCCTCGTCTTTCACGCCTCGCTTGCGGTGGAGGCCATCCGCTTGTGGGCGCAAGAACGCGGCTACCAGCTGCCGGCGCAGCCAGAGGGCGAGGGCTGCGCCGTGCGGTGGCTGTGCTATTCGGCGCTGCTGTGCAAGTCCAACCCGCCGGCGAGGGCGACGGCAGGCGACCGGCACAGCGTCTTCATCGACGGCGAGGGGCGGCTCTCGTCGTGCGGCTCGGCTCAAGAGCTCCTCGGCCACGGTGAGGGCGTGACGCGGCTCAACACGCCGACCCGCCTCCCTTCTCCGCTGTGTGGCAAGCGCGCCGTGAGCGTGTCGGCAGGACTGCACCACAGCATCGCCCTCACCGCCGACGGAGCTGTCTGGAGCTGGGGCTATGGAGGCGGGGGCCGGCTGGGCCACGGCGACGAGCAGCGCCAGCTGCTGCCGAAGAAGATCGAGGCGTTGGCTGGGCAGCGCGTCCTCGCCGTGTCGGCTGGAGGAGCGCACAGCCTCGCCCTCACCGCCGACGGAGCCGTCTGGAGCTGGGGCCACGGTGGCTGGGGCCGGCTGGGCCACGGCGACCAGCAGAACGATCTGCTGCCGAAGAAGATCGAGGCGTTCGCTGGGCGGCGCGTCCTCGCCGTGTCGGCTGGAGGAGCGCACAGCCTCGCCCTCACCGCCGACGGCGCTGTCTGGAGCTGGGGTTGGGGATGCTTTGGCCGGTTAGGCCACGGCGACGAGCAGAACCAGCTGCTGCCGAACATGGTCGAGGCCTTTGCTGGCCAGCGCGTCGTCGCTACCTCGGCGGGAGGCTACCACAGCATCGCTGTCACCGCCGACAGCGCCGTCTTTACCTGGGGCGAGGGCGAAGACGCCTGCCTAGGCCACGGAGAGGACGAGTCGAACCAGCTGCTGCCGAAGAAGATCGAGACGTGGGCGCCGGGGCAGTGATGAGAAGGGCGAAAGGCGCCCAAACATGGCTTTGTTTTTCTTGTTCTCGCGATGTCCACCCCGCGCCGCCGCTCGCGCCGCCTCGCCGCCTCCGCCGCCGCCGCTCCCTCGCCAAGCACGCCGCCGCCCGCCCGCCTCCTCTTGTCCTCTGTCCTCAACGCCCCTCATGCTGGGACACGGGTGTGTGGACTGTGTGTGTGTCTCGCGCACAAACTAGTACGGCTTTAGCCTAAACGGTTTTAAAGGCTTTACACCCACATCGGCACGGTTAGAAAAGAAAGTGTTGGCGACCGGGCGCTCGCGATGTGACGGTAAAGTTTGGCACCAGGGCAAAGCCAAAGGGCGCGTCTGGCCCGCAGCTTGCCGGCGACGTGGGCGGCGTGGCGAGGGCTTGCGGCGAAGCAGGCGCGGGGGAGGAGGGGGATCGAGGCGAGGAGGGCGGCTTCGGCACGAGCGCGGCGGGCGACGCGGTTGAAGAAGTTGACGACCCACAGGCTGGTGGCAGAGCCAACTTCCGGCTCGGCCGCCGCCCCGGGAGGCGGAGGCGTGCCATCCGCGGTGACGCGCTCGGGCTGCTCCTAGCGGAGCCCTGCCCGCTTCCGCTCGACTCGCTCACTGCTCGGGTGGTCGCTCCATCGCTCCGGTCGTCATCGGTCCTGGCCGCATCCTTGTCTGTGGGCCGCGCGCATTGCTCGAGGTGCGACCGGTGGCTGGTGGCGTACAGCGGGCTTACCCCGTCGTTCAAACCTCCGCGACCAAGGAGGCCCATAATCGCGAGCCTTCCGCCTCGCATCGCGTCGGCCAGCCGATCCCGTAGCGGAATTTGCCTCTCCCAGACCATCTCTGCGGCGACGTGCGTCTTGCCACTCGAGAGGAGCGGATCCGACCCAAAACGATTTGGCAGGAGTGCAAAGAGATCGGCAAGAGCGGCTAGCTTTGCCGACGTGGCAGGCACATCCGGGTTCTGCAAAGATTGGGCGTCGATCTCGGACAGAAGGCCAACGCAATAGCGATAGGCGGAGCTACCGTCGCGCACAGGCCGCAGAGAGAGCAAGTTCGAGAACCGCTCCCCAGACTTGCGGTAATTCGTCACCCGAAGGTGGCAGTCGACGCCGCGCCGCAGCGCGTTCACCATCACCGCCAGCGAGAGCCGCTCTGTCCCTGGGCCTTGCAGCATGCGGCAGTTTTGCCCCTCCACCTCGTGCCGCTCGTACCCGGTCAGCTCGCGGAAGGCGCTATTGGCGAAGACGATCGGGTTGCCCGCCAGCGACGTGTCGGTGAGGACGAGGCTGAAAGGAAGGCGCGAGGCAGCCTGGGCAAAGGCGCAAACCCACCCTTCAGCATCGCCCGGCGCGTGGTACCCAGGCCAGAGCAGCTCGCGTGCCTCAGCCAAGTCGTTCGCCGTGACCATCGACCGCAGGACCGCGCGCATCGCCGCTGCAGCCGGCGCGCTCATGTCGGGCTCGCGTCCAGGCTTCTCCTCCGCCGTGGACTGAGTGCGAGCGCTTAGGTACCTCGCCACGGCGGCCCAGACCGCCCTCTCCTTGCGCGAGGACGGGTCGCAGGTGCCCTCGCCGAGCAGCCGGCGGGAGATCTCCTTCAGCGCGGCGTCGGATTCGCTCTCGTCCTCGGGGTTGATGCGGAGGAGCTCGAGCTGGGTGAGCGGCTTGCCGTCGATGTTGGCTCTCCCGTCGTTACACACGTCTCGCAGCACGCGGCTATGGTTGCTGCGAAGCTTTAGCGCCGCCTCCTCGCGCGCCGTGCGCGGGTGAGCCTCAAGCGGCATGTCGCCCGCCGTGAGCTCCTCGGCCTCCGCGATCCACAGCGTTGCGAGGGGCAAGAAAGCGGGGGAGAGGACGAATTTGGGCAATGCCTCCGAGCGCAGCAGCACTGAGACCGCGTGCGCCGCCGCGGCCGTGACCGCTGCTAGCGCTTGCTCGGCACTGCCGCCGCGGAGCCCGAGGTGGCGTTCGCACATCTCGCCAACCGCCGCGGTCTGCGCATCAGGAGGCAAATCCTCGAGCTGTGCCGCCGCAGCGCAAACCTCTAGCTGCTTCGCGGCCACGGGACTGTGCCGGAGCCACGAGTGGAACGCCTCAAGGGCGACGGGCTGTCGCACAATGCTGCGCAGGGTCGCACCCCAGTCGGCGCAGAGGGCGAGACGAGAAAGGGCGGCGAGTGAGCTCCTCCACTGGGTGTGGAGCTGTGCCTCTGGCACAAGAGCCGTCAATGGCGCCGGCTGAAGCTCCGCGGCGAAGCGGGTAGGCAGCAGGCGGAAGACAGTGGCGGCGCGGCGGACGGAGGGGCTGTCGGCGGCGTCCGCCTGCAGGCCAATCACGTAGCGGCACGCCCCACAGCTGTCATGCACGGGCTGCAGGAAGAGGGCGTTCCTGAATTGGCTGCCGTCCTTGCGATAGTTTGTGAGCTCGACTGAGGCGGATTCGGCCGCGCGGAGGGACGCACTAAGCCGACCGACGGCCTCATCCTCGGTGTCCGGCCCTTGGAGAAAGCGGCAGCTGCGGCCGAGCATCTCCGACACCGAGTATCGAGTGAGGCGCGCCGCCGCATTGTTGCAGTACACCAATGGCAATCCTCCATGCGCCTCGGACACGAGAACCGCCACGTCGAGCAGATCGGCGAGGTGCACAAACATGGCGAGCCACGGCGCCGGCCTTGGAGGCTCGAGGCCGAGCTTCCCCGCCATGGCCTTGATCTGCGGGTCGAGCGCGAAGCCGTTTGCTTGCGCACACGAGCGGACGTGGTCAATGTGATGGTTGTCATAATCGGTTTTGCCTCCGAGTGGGCCGAATGGGAGGGCCAGTGCCTCTTCCAGGGCGGCCTGGATCCGATCCCTGCTGACACCCTTATCTGCAGCAACCTCTGCCTGAGACCGGTGACGGCGCAGTGGTCGGCGGGCTGCCGCTTCCGGCCGGCGCGCTGTTTGCGACGAGAGAGGCGCTCGCGCGAGCCGTGCTCGAGCTGGAAGAGGCCGCGACGCTACCCGCTTCTCGCCCCCCATCGCTGGCTGACGCGCCAGCCGCAGCCACCGCCGCCGCAATTGGCTCTGTCGCGAAACTCCTCTGCACCGCGCGCGGCGCGGAGCCTCCGCCGCCGAGCCAGCCGCTCGCCAAGGAGGAGGCGGACGGAGGCGGCGGCGACGGCGAGCGGCGGGGAGCGCCGCCCCTGGGCACGGAGGCGGTGACACGCTTGGCGGCACTGTTTGACGGCAGGATGGGCGGCTCTGTCGAGGATGAGCGCATCTGCGGGTGGCTGCGGCCGCTTCTTGGGGTGGTGTAAGAGGGTGCGTTTGCTCTAGTGTGATGGACCGTCCGTCACGGTTGGAGATTTTAGGGGTCGTGGAGTGTGCCACACACTGTTGTGTGGTGTTTTTGCCGAAGAGGGGGCGCGTAGACCGTAGTGCCTGGATCTCCGAGCGCTCGACGCACGCGAGACCCCCGGGACGAGCCGCCGGCCCGCCGGGACCTGTCCTCGCCGCCGACGAAAAGCGCGAGGCCAGGCGTGGAGGTTACACCATACACGTCCGCGCGAGAGAGCCCCTCTCCCCTTGTTCCCCATTAGAGCCGACGATCGAAGATCAAGGTCAAGATACAGATACAGATCGCCGATGAAGATGCACATCGATTCCGACCGGCATTCGAGAGCAACTCAAATCGGCTCTACGTATGCCGCATTAAGCTACAAGTATACGATCGTACGTACGCGAGAGAAGCCTCGAGGCGAAGGCCGAAGCTTTGGTGTTTGGAGATTGTGGACTTCAATCTTCACATCTTTCTGCAGGCATTCTGTGCTTTCTGAGCACTGAGGTGTGAGGCGCTCTCACAACCTCTCATCCTCTCTCTCAGTCTCTAAGGAAAAGGAGGCAAGTCGGCCGAAGAGTTTTGTAAGGGAAGAATATAACGAACTCATACGACACATGCGAAACTGTACGTTTACCCGACGCCCCTCCCACAGCGTACACATAGGTACAAGACGTTAGAGCTCATCGATCGGGCTATCGCGTATTGACCATCGTCGTGGGGGGCGGCTGCTGGCAGACCGCTCGTCCGCCGCGCCCCTCCCGTTCACCGCTGGCAGAGCGCGCTCTGGTCAAATCACGCCGTGCTCACGCCACACCAGCTTGCAGCCTATCTGCTTGCCCTTGGCCTCCTTTTGCTGCGCGGCCTGCAGCGCCTGCCGCAGCCGCTCGAAGGGCTTGTTCGAGCCGTACGAGTAGAAGACCTCCTCGCCGGGCTCAATCTGCCGCGTGGCGAGAAGCACCGGCCGCACGACGGCGAGGTCGGCGACGGCCTTCCCGACGGCGGCGGGCTTGACGAAGGCGAGCAGCGCGTTCGTGCGCCGCTTGTCGCGAGGGTCGTTGGCCATCGCGCCCGCGCCGAAGCCCCACGCGGCTGCGCCGGCCAGCGGCACGTGGCACCCGTCCGCTGACGGGTTGGCGGGGTTCGCGCGGATGGCGTCGGCGTACGGCTTGCCGTTGACGAGCGCGCCGCCCGCGTTCGGCAGCCGGACGATGTAGGAGGCGTCCGCCTGCGGCGACGTGTCATGGGACGTGTCCTGGACGTGTCGCGGCCGCGTCGTGGACGCGTCGTGGACGTGTCCGGGGACGACGGCAGGGGCGGGCGCCTCGGGCGCCATCTCCTCCTTGTACAGCAGCGAGCCGTGGTACGTCGAGACCACCTCGCCCGGCTGCACGCGCTCGCGCGCAAAGAGGCCGAGCCCCGCCGCCTCGCCGCGCGTGCACGCCCGCACCCGCAGGCACGCGCACCCACGCGCACGGATCCGCACGCACCGGGACGCACCGGGAGGGACGGGGAGGCCCGGGGAGAGATGGGGAGAGATGGGGAGAGATGGGGAGAGATGGGGGGAGATGGGGAGAGATGCGCCGAGATGGGGAGAGATGGGGGGAGATGGGGAGAGACGGGGAGAGATGGGGAGGGATGGGGAGATCGCCGAGCGTGGACGGCCGCACCTCCACCCGCCCGTCCGCCAGCGTCCCGACCTCGCGGTGCCCGAGCGCGGCGAGGGGGCAGCGCCCCTCCGTCCCATACCCGCCCGCCCCGCCCCCCCCTCCGCCGCCTCCCCCTCCGCCGCCCCTTGCACCGCCGGCCCCTCCGCCGCCAGCCCCTCCGCCGCCAGCCCCTCCGCCGCCAGCCGCCGCCTCGTCCCTCGGCTGGCGGCCGCGCACCGCCACCGCCACCGCGGAGGCGGCGGCGGCGGCCGTCGCGCGACGGTGCTGCGGCGGCGGCGCGGCGGCCATGGCCTACACGGGGCGGTCCCCTCTTCGGTTCGCCGTCTCTAGCCGGCGCACGAGAGTAGCCACGTCGGCGCGCACTAGCTCACCTCCGTGTCCCAGTCCGCTCTCCTATGTTCCTACCTCAGATCTCTGGCACGTCTTGGAGCAGCTAGCCACCGCCACCGCGGCGTCGGCGTCGTCGGCCGCGTCCTGGCACGCGACGCAGCGGTCCTTCGCGCCGCCGTCGCGGTACTGCGCCTTGCACCCGTAGTGGAACCAGCGGCCGCAGTCGGCACACTCTGTCGCGAGGGCCTTGCGCGCCCTCGGGTCGGCGCAGACGCAGGACCACTCGCGGCGCTCCAGCTCTGCAGCACAGCGAGCGCCGTGCCGCTCGGCGGTGCGGTGCTCCTCCGCCTCGAAGCAGCGCGTGCACGACTGGCACTGCCAGACGAAGCGGCCGGCCGACGGGTCGTACCCCGCGCGCTGCAGCTCCTGCTGCTGGCACGACGAGCAAAGGAACGTCTTGTCGGCGGCGAAGCGCGCGAGCTCCGCGGGTGTGTAGTCGAGCCGCTCGCACTTGGAGTGGAAGGTGAGGGCGCACGAGCGGCACTGCAGCTCGGCACCGCCGCGTAGCACGCCTCCCGCGCAGACGCACCCCCACTGGATGGCCGTGCCGCCGCGCCTGCTGGGGAGGCGAGGGGGGGGATGGGGGGGGGGGG